TCATTCTAGACTCATTTAATTTGTCTCCCGAAAACAGCTATAAAGAGATGATTTGATATTTCAATAGATTATTGTTTCTCCATCAAAATATAGCCCACAACATGTCAATAAACCTTTACAAAATTTGCCAAAATATTTGAAATTTAAAATGATGTCACTGATGTCTTGAAAGTCTTGAGTCCTCTCTTTAAAGTAGAAATAAATGTTGCATGTTGCTATCTTTAAAGTAATGTCACCTGCGGGACTGTTGACTTTAATATTAGCACAACTGCAATGATTTGTATATTGTCTTTAATTATTTTTAAGAACTGCATATATCATCTTGAAGTCTTATGAAAACTGAGAGCATACTGGAAGGCCTGTTTATAAAAGAGGAAATTTGTGTCTCACCTTTCCTGGAGAAAAAGCTAATGATTATCTGTTGTTAAATAAAAGGAGTGGAGGTAATGTTTTTAAATGTGATGTGAATTTATGGCTGGGGAACAATTATGAATAAATGCTTTGAATAAGACACTCCTAGATTAAGTGATCAGTATTTCAATAAGTTGCAGTGGCCATTTGATCCTTATTTTGATTATGCAGAACATAAACACCTTGTAAGTTTGTCTTATTGTCATATGCATTAAGCTATGGGTTATAAACACTTCTTGAAAAACGCATAGATGGAATTTGAGGCATTAATCTATTGTGACCACAGACGGTGGTTAACATTCTACTCTCTCTACCTGGCAGTGCTAGGACCTTTGCTGGCAGCTAGAAAAGAAGAAGAAGGGGAAGGAGGAGGAAAAGGAGGAGGAGGAAGAGGAGGAGGAGGAGGAGTAGAATCATTGCATAAACCTAAGGATTCAGTATGAATACAGGAAGCCAATACCATATAGTCAAGACAATACCCTTTTTTTCATTGCCTCTTCAACTGTTTTGCGTAATTATTTTAATTCTTTTTCATTTTTTATAACGCAAATATGCCACAGTAAAGACACACCCAAGATGCAATACATGCTTTTATGTACTAAGAAAACATCTCCAGACAGAAGAAGATTGAAGACAGTAGCATAACAATTTCGTCAACATTAAAAACTATTGCCTGAGCTTGATACTTGAGGAATTTATTCTTTATCAAACTTATTAACTACATGGTGACTTATGTCACATCTCAGTTTATACAGGATCTTTATAGATATGTCTGTCTGTGGTGTAAATATACATAATGAACACTTCCATATCTATGGCCAGCAATAATTTAACATGATCCAAATTAATTTAAGGCTGAAGTATTGAAAAAAATCTATTTTTAAGAACTTACCATGCAAACATCTTAAAAGAAACTCAGGACTTAGAAACAAAGATACAAATAAGTTCAGTCACATGTAGTGTTGCCTCTCTCTGTTTCGTTCTTTCTTTCTTTCTTTTTGCATTCCACAAGCCTTTAGCATTTGCCTATAATAGTATTTAAAATGTAGTTTTTCAAATTTAATGTGAAGTATAGGAGTGAACAACACAAAAAGTAAAACCCACAGAAACATGGAACCTCTGGATTAAGAAATTCTTAAAAATATGAAGAAGATCCTTTGTCTTAAGGAAAGAAGCCAAAGCTTTACCAAATAAAGTATCACTGACTTAAGGTATGCTGACAACTTCCCAGGGGACCTGATGCATGACTATGGAAGCCAGGTCCTTCTGTTATCAGGAGAGTCAGATTTCTAAATGCCCAACCCAGTTCAAACAATGTCAGTACTTACCCTGGAGAAATGGCTTCCCATGTCAACTACACTTGAAGGTCTCCCATTCTTGCCTAATCTTGTCTCAGACCAGATTCAAATTGGATTGACTGATGAACAAATGGTTAATTTGCAGTGTTCAGCCCTGTGGACTTCAGACTGTCTCCTCCTCGTCCTAAAGGAATTCTCCATCGCTACCATCTACGCGGTGTCTTCAGAAGCTGACTCATCCTAAGCACTGCTCATATAGTTTATCATTATCTTGTCCAAAGACAAAATGCACTTTGAATTCAGATGTAAACGCCCGCCCTCGGACTTGAGAGGCTTGAGAAACGCAGCAGTACCCTGGTGCAAAATGCAGAGCCCCGAGGGAAATATTAACAGCCAATGTGGGTGGTTTCCTCCTCTAGAAATACCAGTTGGAAGACAAATGAACCAAAACAAACAACATTTTCAATATCTTCATGCAAATTATTCTTCTTAGATGTTTATTTTATTTCTGACTTAGTCACAGTCATATTGACTTTTCAACTTCTCATAGAGCCCACATTTTCTTATGCTTATTAATTTTGAAACTACTTAAGTGTCTTTTCTAATGAGTTTCACTTTGAGGGAAAAACAAGTGGCCTGATGATTCCATGCTGTTAATACTAAAATGAGCAAGACACCTTTCTGAATGAGCATTCCCACTTTGTGCTTAAGACAGGTGTACTATAGAGGCGGCAGCAACACAGACAGACAGATGGCTTCTTGTATCTTGCATGCTATCATGTGCCCCCAAGGGTAACATCCTAATGGCTTTCTGTCTCTGAGACTCAGATTCTAAAGTATGTAGTCTTTAGAAAAACAAGCATGGGATGTTTACCTCAAACTAAAAAGGAAGAAACAACCCAAATATTCCATCAAACCCATATAAAACTCCCTGCTTCCCTTAGTTGCCACAATTCTGGAGCAAAGTTTCAAGCCCATGACAAAAAAAAAAATTAAACAATCCCCATGGCAGGAATTCAGATTACCATCACATTTGATGATAGTTCTTTGAATCTCAGAATATTTCATAAGGTCCAACCCATCTGCCACAGCAGAACAATGATTCAGGAACTTGAAATTATTTCTGCATTCATTACCCAACATTCTCACAGTCTGTATTAAAAATAGTAGACACACAGGAAGTCCCCAGTTAGCATCTCCTTCAAGTTTTAAGGAACTCAAATTATTGAGTCTTCTTTCTAAGAACCAGTGAAGAAGTCAAAGGAACACCTAGTCAACCAGTCACAGAGAATTCACTCCCCCAGACCAATGAATTCCCATTCATAAGATATGGGACGGATTCTAATGCCCGCCTCTGTAGCCTGTCTTTACCTTTCCATTCCCCTCTGCTCTGCAGTCTTCACAGTCTTTTCTCCTGCTTCTTTCATTGCAGAGTGAGGTGCCCGCTCCTTCATTAAACAGCATTAAAAACAAACTGTAAAGAACGCCCCCATGCAGCATGCTCTAATGGGGCGATTGCTACAGTTCTCAAGGTAACCACACTCAACTGGAATCTACTACAAGCAGTCACTGGGAGACTGGCAATTTGTGAATCTAATAACACACACACACACACGCACACACACACACATTCACTCTGACTTGTCTGGGTCTGAACTGAATATCACCAAAGAGAAATCACTATGTAGTGAAATTAAGTCACCGAGAAACCTAAAGGCATTTCCCAGAGCAGTATAAGTTTCTTTAAATATGCCTCACCCAAAGAAAGCCCTGTTAAATAAGCATTCACCATGAGTAATAGTTACTTTATCATTCCAGTGACATAAATCATACCCAGAGAGGAACTAAGGCATTGTATGGTCCAAGACAATGTCTTTAAAATTACATTGAAACCAAACGGTAAGAATATAGACAAACAGACAGCAGAGATTATCTTTTCCAATCTTTTGTAATGAAAGCAAAGTGTATCTATCACCTTAAAAAGCATTTAGACTTATTCTCTAGAAACATAAAAAGATAACCTGACAGTCAAAGCAATTAAAAAGTAAAAGGAGAAGAGGACAAAGGAAATTGAGAACCAAGCATAAGCAGTTACATACCTTGAAGAGCTACATAACCCTGAAAAGACAGGGTCTCACAGGCAGCCCCGCATCAAGATCACTCCACTGTTTGAACGACTCATGACCAGAATGTGTGCCTTCCAAACGACTGGGTTTTTTTTCTCCTCATGAAAATAAGATTAACTAAAATGCTATTCAGACACCCCAGCCCCAAGGTACCATAACCCTGAAGAGGGAAGGAGAGGATATACTCTGTACTCCTAGTGCTGAAGTGAATATCAAAGGCTTTCTGTCTCTTTCTCTGGTTACTTAAAGTGGTAACAGCAGATTTGATCTCCAAGGCAGATGAGGAAGGGGTGGGCACAGTTTAGATTTATTCTGCATTGGAGCAAAAATAAAAAAAAAAGATACCGATCCATTTCAGTTCTGGAGAGACTGTCATTCTTGCATGCAGAAGCTGGGGACACTGAGAAGTCAGACAGTAAAATGATTGTCTCTATCTGTAACACATTCTCAGGGAGATCATTTCTCGTAGCCTTGCCCTGCATCTCCCTGCTCACTATCCCCTAACTTTCCTCTTTGCTCTTCCTTTAAACTTACACTCTGGCCTTATTCTGTATCTGTAGAAGGTGATCAAGCTTTGAACTTCACACATCTGAGACACCAACAGCAAGTCATAATTTCTCTTCCGAAGAAACTTTTTAAAATGCTCCCCTAACTCAGATTCAATCTTACTCCCACATTTATCACCTGAGACGTCTACCCTTAAATTATGCGATGACGCTGATTTCAAGATTTTAAAAATAAAACAAAAATACTATTACCCCTTCCTCCCCTTTCCAACCTCTTGGGACCCAGGAGCTCTGTGATGACAGAAGAAAGTGACAACTTTCCATTTTCTCCACAGCTCTCTTCCAACTGAATTAGGAGAATCTCCAAACTTGGCACCACAAACCCCACACAAAATTACTGGAAACTCTGTTACAAAAAGCATCGCCCCTTTCAATTCCCTCCCCAGCTTTCAATTTCTGCCTGATTTTGGGGAAGGGAAGTCCACCCGTGCCTTGGGCGAGACATAGAAACAGCAGATAAACAACAGAGAGGCACAAACAGTTCCAAGGGAAAGCACAGATAGACGGTAGAAAGAAGGGGAGGGGGCAGAGACAGAAAGCCCCGACAGTGAGACACAAAAGGAGCGCTATCTCCAAGTCGGAAGAGTTGGCGTTTTTACCTGAAGGAACAGAGTGGAGTTACCCAGCGTCCCGGTGCCTTGACTGACTGGATTTCGTTTGGGGCTTTGTGAATAATGATTGTTTCTCAGTGAATGCTTTGGTTGGGTCGGTTTGGTTTGTAGCTTGCCTCTGTTGTTTGGTCGATTTGTTTAACTGCTAGCTAAAGGAGCCCTCGGCGTGGAGGCAGGGGTCATAGCGCAGCTCAGACACAACCCTGGTGGGGGCCGCGTGGCTGCGGCTGGCGGACTGTGGTCGCCGCTCCGGACTCTTGGAGGTCGTCGCTGCTAGAGAGCCTGCACGCCGCTCCAGGCTGCTGTCTGTTTGCCTGTCTGTCAGTCTGTCCGCACCAGGAAGGGTGTGTGTGTGTGGGGGGGGGGGGATCGGTGTCCTGGCTTGGCTCCGCTCCTCTCTCGGGAGTAGCCACTGTCTCCTGTTGCCAGTCCTTGCGCTGATCTGTCTGTCCCTCCAAGTCCTGGGGTCCCACCAGCAATTCCGAGACCAGGTTTCTATCCTCGGAGCCCGCAGAGTCTCTGCTACTTTGCGCTCTGGGCGGAGGTGACTGCAGGGAGCAAGTGTGCGGGGCTGTCCTGTCCTGTCCCTCCCTCTCCTTCTCTCTTCTCTGCCCACTGAGTTCTCTCTCTCTCTCTCTCTCTCTCTCTCTCTCTCTCTCTCTCTCTCTCTCTCTCTCTCTCTCTCTCTCTCTCTCTCTCTCTCTCTCTCTCTCTCTCTCTCCCTCTCTCCCTCTCTCCCTCTCTCCCTCTCTCCCTCTCTCCCTCTCTCCCTCTCTCCCTCTCTCCCTCTCTCCCTCTCTCCCTCTCTTCTCTCCTCTCCTGTCTGTCTCTTCTCTCTACCTTGCTGGCCCGCTCGCTCGATCTCTCCCAGGCTGTGTGAGTGCGTCCACCTGCCTGTCGCTCTCGCAGTCCCCCAAGTCAGCCTCGCTGGGCCCCCCTGACCGCCTCGCCTGGCAGTGCTCTCCCACGCGGCTGGCACTGCTCCCAGGCGGCGCCCATCTCCTCCCCGCCTGCCGAGGACGTGTCCGACCCGGCAACGAGAGCACTGCACGTGGCCCCTCAATGGCCCCAGCCCTAGACCTGTGTCTCAGACCCCTCCGCGAAGGGAGGTGGCCCTGCGGGGCCGCCTGGCAATGCTTGGCCGCTGTGCCACCACGCGAGGCTGAGGTTTGAGCGCAACCGGCACCTGCTCCATGCACGGGGCGCTGCCATCCCCACTGCTCTGGCCACCCCTGGGCTGGAGACAAAGCGCATGAGCCACGCCACGCGCGCGGCAGCGCGAGCATCATTAATCAGAGAGAAAACTGGCGCGCTGCCCCGGCCCCGTCACCCCGCCTCTCCTTCCCAACCATCGGGCGCGCCCCAGCGCCCAGCCCTTGCCTACCTTGCCAGGGTACCACCTCCAGTCCTAGGGATGCTTGGCTAGAGCTTCTGGTGCTCCGGTACCCCGTGCTCACTCTCCCGGGCCAAGTGCAGACAACAGTCCTGGGCAACCACACCTCACCCCACCCACGAAATAAATCCCAGCCTTGAGCTCCCAGAGATGCCCAGGCTTTGGAGCTAAGAAAGACCACAAGTCCAGCTGCTCAGCGAGGCTGGTCTTCTGGTTGCAAGACCGCCCAGATCACTGCCGCCCGCCTGCTGAGCGAGCTCCGCTGATGTGCTAACAGGAAACCCAGCACTGCAGAGCCCTGAGGGGTAGGGCTGGGGCAGGGAGCAGAGTTGACACCTGAAGAAATAAAACCGCTGGTTTACCCAATTGTTTGGAGACATGTACTATTTTTATTATCCGCAATTCATTTTTTTTTTCATTGTCTAAGAGCACGCTACCAAAAGCAGGAAAAAGTACAGTGAAGACAGGGAATACATTTCCGGAATGCCGCCCACCCCTGAGCAACTATACATCCTACTTTTCCAACAGTATAGGTCACCAGCCAAGATAGACCATTCTAGATTTCTACCCCAGCCGAGAGCAAGGCATTGGATTCCAGGCCTCTTGGCTAGGTTGTTATTAATGGGCAGCAAAATTATAGTTGTGCACTTCTGTGTGGAATTGCCAAAGCTCATTTTGGCAAAACCCAACACCCAAGCTTCTGAAATGCAGACTGAGTTAACCATGGATCTGCAGCAATACACAATACATTGAAAAAGGAAAAAAAAATCAACTCTTATCAGCAGCGATTAACTCCGTAAACAGATGACAAATATACAACTACCATAAACTATGCCACGAAAATCTTTTTTTTTTTTTTGGCTTCTGTTTAGTGGTACCTACCTCTAATGATAGACTTTAAAACACAAACACACAAACAAAAAACCAGGCTTATACAAACACGTGACTTCCATGGTGTTAATTTGCGCAGATTGCTGTATGGTCATATGAGCTCCCAGGTGCTAAGATACAGATTATAGAGCTTCAGCGTGTGTGTGTGTGTGTGTGTGTGTGTGTGTGTGTGTGTGTGTGTTTGTGTGTGTGTGTGTTTCTAGAAAGTGCTATCTATTGTATAGAAGGCTGGCCTGGCTAGCTGTTAGATTCCCCCCACCCATTCATCCACCAGGGTTCCACTTCTCCTGGAAGAGCTAATCCACAGCAGAAAGTTTCAGAGGAGCCTAAAGCTTTCAGGATGGTCACTTTGAGCTGTATCTCTATCTTTCTTACTCATAGTTCTGAAAACCTGTTGGTAAGTGTTTTCCAGTCATTTGGGATATAATAAGAAAAAAAATTAAAATGTTTCTTATTACATCCCTGTGATAATTAGATAACATCTTAAGAACTGAACACTATATTTCCTCTTGGGAAATTGTATTAGATTGGAATGTCATAGGCCCATATAATTGAAACCATATTTAAAGAAGGGGGGTCAGAATGAGTACTCTCTCTCCTAGACAGGAACAATCCCACCCCTGACACACACACCCTCCCATCCACACCCAGAATTCAATTCTGTAAACCAGAGTAGAAATTACAGCCTTTTTAAAAGGGAGGAGAACACTGAGGATTATTCTTTTAAAAAAATCCAGCACTTATACCAATGAAAAAGATTCTCAGTCTTAACAATCTACTGATGAACTGGATGAGGAGACTTCAGGCAAAGCCTCTTATGGACTTTCAAGCTACGTTTGAAAATATGAAACACACTTGGAATTAAAACATTAAAAGTCAATTCCAATTCCTATCATTTCTTCTAATATTTTTTGCCAACAAATCAGTGGCATGAGAAAGCTCAAGTTTATTTGAGGCCATGTTGCCAATTGGTATTGAGATATCCAATTTAAAAAAATGTGTGTTCTAGTGTGGGACTGGAATATCCTCTTGGGACTACTAGGCAGGTAGTGAGCAATGTTATTATTGTGGGCCTTTAGAATGTGCATACATTTCCTTAAATGATTTGAAATGGCTAACAGTTCAGGCCCTTGTCCTGACGTGTTAACAGATCTTGAGCTCTCTAAAACAATGTCTTCTGTTTTGGGCCTCTGGGTCACAGTGGCAGTATTATCCCCTCTTTTGCGATGTTGTGTGGGGGAGGCAGGATGTAATGTTACTCGTGGTCTGAGGGCCCTTGAGTGTTCACTGGCATTGTGTTTGAAATGAGAGAGCATGCCTGTAACCAGGTAACCTCAGCTTAGGGAGTTGAGCTCACCTACACACTGGCAAACATCTTACACTGTTGACAAGCTCCTTTAAACACGTATTCCCTGAAGACACTAAATTAGTGCCCTTTAATGAAGCTCTCAAATTGGATTTTCAAAATAAGGCGAATTGCTAGAATAACCCAGCTACCTTCATGAGCACCTTTTCAGCTGAAGCGAGAAGTAGGATTTCCGTGCTGTTGGACTTGCAACATTTCTCAACAATTAGGCTGTGAGGAACTCCACTTAAGGGCATAAACCCCCTCCCCCATAAAGGCCCACATATTCTCTAGAGAGACTTCTTATCCGTCCTCTATCCAGCAAAACTGGCTAGGATCTCCTAAATAACAGTCTCGGGTTTGAGTTTCAAGCCTTACAAATATACATGAGGGAGAAAAGCAAGGGGGAAGATGGGGAGGGGGAAGGGCGGGGAGGGGATGGCAAGATTAACATTTCAACCAGAAAAGCTGAGAGCCCCATTCTTATTTTGTACTAAGCCAAAATAACTCCAAAAACACATTTCAGAACATCAACAAAGAATGTTACATCATGTATGCATCTGAGCGTGAAGAAATGTCACGATCAAAAACAAAGAGGACTTGGGAGACTAGAAGCCAAATGTTCGGATGGCACGGATCCCTTGGTGCCAGCTCTGTCTCCTCTGCAGTAGGTTGTGTGCAATGCAAGAAAATTACCCCTGTGAGCACGCAGACCACAAATGACCCCTGGCCTGCACTCCCATGAAGCGATGCTCTGTTGCCAAAGCAGCTCAAGACGTTTCTAAAAAATAAATGTGTTTGGGGATTTCATGGTGCCTCCTCTGAATCCGAGGAGGGGCAATGGAATGGCACAGGAGGAATCTGCTAAAGGGAGGTTTGGAAAACCTGTCACAGAAAGATCTGAGCAATAATAGACCAGGAAAGCTGCTGGATACGCTACCTGTTTCTTTTCAGCATCCCTTGGTCAGATACATTGCCACTCAGAGCATACTTGCTTTTTTTTCCATCCTGGCAAACAGAGCACTATACTTGCTTATCTGCATCCTGAGAAAGCCCAGGCTCTTCTGGGGTTCTGACAGGGGGACAGAGGCAGGAAGACATTCTCTCTGCAGAGCAAGGGAAGAATGCCCTTTCCCCTACTACTGTAGGACCATTTCTTCTAGAAATACAGTCCCCCATGACACACACTAAAGGTGTTACTGTTTTTTTTTTTTGCATGTACGTGTGGTGTGTATAAGCATACATTTTCACAGGTGTTTGGGTACACATATGTACCTGAAGTTCACATGAACTTGTGTGTACATGTGTGGGAAGGCCAGAGATTGATAGTGGTGTTTTCTTTCCTCCATTGGCCTCCACTTTTATTTATTAAAGTCTCATCTCTAGCTGAAATCAGAGATAACCAATACAGCTACTCTAACTGGTCAGCTTACCCAGCATCTGGTCTTCCAAGCCTATGGGTTCTGGGGATCTGAACTCTGATCCTCAAGCTTGTAAAGCAAGGACGTCCATCCACTGAGTCATTTCCTCAGCCAAAGGTGTCATGATTTAAAAACAAAAATAAAAACAAAAACAAAACTTAGCCTAAAAAATGAAAGTTAGAGAAAATGCAGAATCGTTAGGGGAAAATGTGAGCAAAGAGACGATGTCCTCAGGAAGCCCCAGGAAGAGCACAGAACAGAAGCTGACATGCCAAGCCCAGGGTGTGACCTGCCTCCTTTTTAGTCTTTTCTGAGGTCACAGATCCCCAGGATGAATGTTGGTTCTTTCCTCACACAGAAGCAGAGGAGCGGCAGTAAGTTATTTGGGAATCATATATTTGGCTTCTTGATCGTGAAATAAGGCAATTAATTAGGTGTTAGAAAAATAGCTTCAATCCAACTCTAATGAGATGCAGGATTTCTGGATTTGAAAACTGTTCTCCAAACCTAAGTTATGTGTGTGTCTGTCTGTCTGTCTGTCTGTACAGTTTGATACTTCAAAGAAAGCCCACTTAAATCTTA